GTTGGAAAGTTTGTGATTGCTTATGGCTTGTTTATAATATTTATTACAAGATATTACAGTTTTAAGCTACACTAAGGAGAGGAGGAGTGTTCAAACCCGGGACACAGTGAGAATGACAATAATACCAGTGCTATTGTTGTTGCTCACAGGTAGCATCACCAGTGTGATTTTATACAAGACATGAGTAAGTTGTGAATGTTTTGGTAGATATGACATCAATTATGGTAAGCGGCTGTAATTGTTTTTTTTATTTTGTTTTACCGAACCCCAAAAATAAATAATGATGTTGTTTTGCTGACCTAAAAACACTCGTTTGTTTTTGTTTTCAATTGAGGATAGAAAAGGAACACTAGTGGGCTCTTGAATAATACGTGACTTCTAATATAAGAAGTCATTGTGACATGACATCATTTCATCGAAAAACATTATAACTGACTCGTTATTTCTTTATGAGATGAGCAATTGCAACAAATTTCGTCAAAGTCTCGTAAAATGGTGACTTTTGTTCACTTAATTTTCTTGTAGTGTGTGTGGGGGTGGGGGAGAAGCCTCTTGTAGTGTGTGTGGGGGTGGGGGTTGGCTTCTCCTAAGGGCGAGGCAACTAGTACTGGAATCAACACCTCCAAAAGTTGATGTGTGTGGGGGTGGGGGTTGGCTTCTCCTAAGGGCGAGGCAACTAGTACTCGAATCAACACCTCCAAAAGTTGAACACACAGAGAATACTCTTTGGAGCCTTGGATTGAGTAGGGACAAAGCCAACTTCTTTCGAGCTTTTCTGCTATAATATATACTCATCTAGTTTTAGCTTTCCAAAAGTTGGATCATCCCAAAGAATCTCACGAGGCCCCTCTTCACATTCATCCCGTACAATGTCTTGTAAACGTGCACCTGCGTCACTGCTCTAGCTACCACTTCATATTTTTGCTACAAAACTCTTTAAACTTTATAGCTGCATGAGTTAATAAAGTTGCAAAGCAATATATTCAATTTCAAGCCACCCAGAAAATGCAACGAAATCCTAAGATTTGATGAAATTAATCTTTTTAATTTGTCACATGAACAAAATTTTCAAGTAAATTGTCATATAAACTTTTTAAAATTATTAATTTGTCATTTGACTCTTACTCCTTTAAGTTTATCCATCCAAGATAAGTCATGTGCTTACACATGACTTGTTTTTAGAGTTATTTCTTTGGACATTTCAACTTCTTTTCACAAATTCTTTATTTGTTAGACATGAAACCATGAATTTTTGTTGGTATGAAAATACATGTTGTGTCCGTTTCAAAAGCTTCTAGTGAACTACTAATAAAGTATGTTAGACTCACTAACACGAAGTTGTGGCTAATTGGAAGATTTGAGAATTTAACATGCTCAATTATGGGAATCTCTTTCATTTTATTGCTTTGTCATGAGTAATCGCTTAGTAAAAGCAATGTCAAGTTTGATATTTATCATTGTTTTAAAGGACAACTATATTTCAAGAATATGTGTATATATGAGGACTATAGTTGGAGAGAAACTCTATCAAGATTTTAATCTTGGTCACAAGTTGTACATGACTTATTTTGAATGAAAATTCAAACAAGATTAGGATGAGACAACAAATTAAAATTTTAAACTAAAAATTTGAGAAAATGGATATGACAAATCGTTTAAATTTTTAATTTATATGAGATTTTAAAAATTTGAGAAAATGGATATGACAAATCGTTTAAATTTTTAATTTATATGAGATTTTAAAAAATTTCCCTAACAAATGCAACAAAGATAAGCTAAAATTTGGAGAAAAAACACCAGAACAACTATGAACTTATAGAAAAAACACTTCAAAAACAAACTAAATTCTAAATTTATTGTAATTTGGACCTAAAACCAACATAAGGACATGCAAATTAACACATTTAGCCTTACACTCGAGATCTTAAATGTGATCCAACCTCTCCCAATTCAAACTAGCTAGGCCGTTGTCAGGTGCCGCAAAATATGTGCAAAGTGTCAAAGACTGAATTCAGTCAATGGCACCTAATCGTTATAGTCAAAGTTAGTATCAGCTTTAATAAATTAATACCCTTTTTTTTCTTATTTTGACCATATGAGTGATGACCGGAATTAAGACGACCGTCACCAATTGCTGGGGTTTTGGGGCATAAAGCTAGCTAGCTTCCAGTAACGAACCAGAAGCTAGCTTAGCTGTAGAAATTAATTATTAGGGGAATGTTTGTTTAATTGGTACTTATTACTATGATATTTTTGTTTGTTTTGTCGATTTGAGAAATGCTAAGAGATTCACTTAAAAGTGAGAATCTTCATGAATTTTCTATCACTTTTTAGTTTAACATTAATTTTCGTATTAACATCATAATTAAACATTATGCAAAAAATATGATGTAGCAGAGAATCTATAGAGAGTTCTACTTTTGAGAAAATCCCCTTAATATTTCTCTTTGTTGATTTGCTCTTTCCTCGTAATATGATTTTAGCTAAATTAAGAATCGACACAGTCATACAAGCTAGATTTTAGTTAGTTAATAACCAACAAATTAATTTCCTTCTTAAGATGTTTAATCATTTTAATTATAATCAAGAGTCTTTTTTGCATGAGCTCAATGCTATCTAAAAGAACTTACATTTGAATTTGATCTGGTAAGACTACTTTTTGAGAGTATGAATTTCACGTCAAGAAAATAAGAAACTTTGTATATGCTTATAAGTTGTTAGATTACTATTCATACTGTCAGATTAACAAAGAATAAGAATGCTGGCTTGTTGACTCTTTACATGTAGAGAGTCCTTATTCTTACTTGTTCGAAGCGCGTAACAGATTACATATAAAGAGACAAGTATATATGTGCAATTTTCATGGCTGTCAACTCCAAAGGAAGAATTAATAAGCATGAATTGATGGGAATGTTGGATAAAATAAGGTTATCGATTTACAACTGTGTGAATCTACTAAAATGAAGTTTAACCAGATTTCCAAATATACGTGTATGGACCACCATGCAGCTTTAAACTGACGTTGGGATTCCACCAAACAAGCAAAGTATCTTCAAAAAATCTCATCATCTAGGTACTCTCTCACCAAACAAATTAAAAGAAGAATAAATTAAAACTTGCGAAAAAAGGTTTTTCCATTTTTATACATTGGTTTGCTAGTAAACTTGAAACATCAAACCCTAAAAATAGAGGAACAAGTAAAAGGACCCGAGACCAATTTGCACCTCTCAATTTCGCTCCCTTAGAATGGAACTTTGCCCAACTGGAAAACTAAGCTCAACCGTGACGTAGAGGTTCGCTCACAGTTCAGTCCGTGGCTTTCCTTTTGCAGTAGCCACGGATAACGTACATCATTACATTTACTCTGTACGTAGTCACGAAGACTATAAATCAGTCACCTTACTTTGTTAATTATCAGAGTAATTTCCATCATTACATTTACTCAAACCCTAATAGGGTTAATTAATCGAGATTCTTGGAAGGCACCATACAATTAACATTGTTATTAACCAAAAGATGAAGCTTTGATGAATATGTATGTAGAAGTTGTGGGAGGTGCAGACAAAAGATCTGTCCCTCTTGTGTACATTCATTTTTGCTGCTAGAGTGCCCACATGTTCCCTTCGAAGCAGATCATTGAAATTTGGAAAAAAAAGAGAGTAGCAGAAGAAAAAAATGAAAAAAAATGAACATATCTGCACAGAGAGAGAGAGAGAGAGAGAGAGAGAGAGCAAGCTTTAGATCTATCGATCATTGCCTAAAACCCTCCACATTTTGGACTTGAGTTAATTTCTACGGAAAAAAAAAAAAAAAAAACTTACTGTTTTCACCTATCTGATTATATCCTCAATTCCCAAGAGAAACAAATAAATAGTATGATATAAATAACTATTATTTAACCAAAGAAAAAAAATTCAAATAATTAAATATAACTTTGAGGTATTTGTTTCCTTCCCAAGGTGACCCCATCATCATCGTCTGAGTTCTACCTTCTACTACAACAGACAATTTCCATCATATGATTACATGGATCAACGCGACCTATATACACAATATTATAAAATACTCTTTCATTTTTTAGAATTATTTATCATGGAATTTAAAAAGAAAAGAAATTTCAACGTTTCGAGTAAATTCTATATATCTATATAATTCTGCAGCAGTACGGATGATGAGCGCATAAGTAATTGCAGTGTCTGCAAGAAAGAGCAAAGACTACTACTTGGTAGAGAGAGAGAGAGAGAGAGAGAGAGAGATGATTCGAAGGGGGAAAAGAAGGAAATAGAAAGCAGTGCATTCATCGTATATAGGTATGTATGTATGAATAAAGAGAAAAAGGTTTGCAATATAGCAGTCGTTGAATAAGATCCATATAATTAATACCAACACAGAAAGTCTGATTCGTGGACCAAAACGAAAAGGTATGTGATGAATTGATGAGAAGAGAAGAAAAGAAGAAGCATAATAGTAAATTAAATGAATGAATGACACTGCAGAAACGTACACATATGGGGAGAAAAGATACAGACATGATCGGTAGTCATTGGATCAAACGGCAAAATGCAGAATCCATCACACACGTCTGATCGATCCTTGAATCTTGTACAAGTCCCTCTACCAACTCATCACACAAACAAATTGTGGAGAGCAAATTGCATGAGCGGATTCTTCATCATGTGACATTCTAATCTAGCGATGCAATGTCATGTAAAAAGAAATTTAGACATGACACCATATTATATTGCACAATATTGAGAGTGAATTCCATATTGACGAGAGTAGTGATGTTGCATGATCTTATAAGAGGTTGGGCTACTTTCCATATTGCTATTGCCAATTAGTTTTATGGTGAAATCTCAATTTTATTGGTTGAACCTCAACTTTCTTCACACAATGATGATAAAACTGTTTCATGCAAATCCTTCTCCAAATTGCGAAATCAACGTATATTGATATGATCAGCATTCACAGCTAAAGATTGCAAAATCAACAAACACTGATAGTATTAACCCATTGCTAGCTAGATGAACAAATTTAGATAAATACTTTACATGCAGTACTGATGAAATGTTCAAATTAAAGGGCAACATTCATCTAAATCAAGTGTTCAAATAACACGGATGATCCACTACAACGACTAGCTACCCAATTAAACTAAACGAAACCCTAGCTAAAACACTAAAATCCGGAGAAAAAGTAGTAGATTTTTTCTCAACAAAGTCAGCTGCAGGCACATTCATCATTTTCTTGACCAAAACATTAGAAGAATGGCCCATAACTGATAAAATACCACTACCACATGCTAGCTAGCTCAATTATAATAAATACAAAATATGAGAAGAGATCAAACAACGACAACGACGATGTACTTGTTGTGGGTTCTTGTTCATGTTCATTGTTTGGTTTTCGGGGTTTGTTTTGTTTTGTGCTTAAGTTATAAGCATATAAACTCAGCTAGCTAAGTAGCTAGGGTTTCTTACCCAGAGTGTGTTTGTTGTTATGCATCCAAACCTTGAGCACGTGGCGATTCACTCCGGTCTCGTTGCAGAACTGCTGAACCGCCGGTTCGTCCTGCTTCTGAATCCTCCACCCCAGCCTCTCCGCCAAGCTCAACATCCTCTCTTTCTGCTCCTGACTGAACTTTGTCCTAAATCTCTTCTTCCCCGACGACGCCGTTCCGTGCATACCCATCCCCATTCCCAAACCCCCACTCCCTCCGCCACCGCCCCCGCCCCCGCTGGGATTTGACACGTCGTCATCCTGCTCTTGCCCCCCGCTGTGGGTCCCTCCCCCTCCCGAAGTCGCCGGCAAAGCCAGCAGCCTGTGGTGCGCCGCCACGTGTAGATACCCAGCTGGAGTCCGGTAGTACGGCGAGAAATGGGGGTGGTGTTGCTGCCCGTGGTGCGGTACCAGCTGCCCGTACGCGTCGGTTAAGACTCCGAGACCGTGTCCGGGCGGGTCACCCTCCTTTCGGTGAAAGTTGCGGTGGCAGTTGCAGGCGGCGCACTTGAGCGCGTCGAGCGTGCCCTCCGGGCCAGCCGCCAAGAACTCGCAGCACCCGTCCAGCGCGTGGCCTCCAATCCCCACGGCGTGGTTCTTTAAGCACTCTCTGTACCTCACAGCCTTCCTCGGTTGCTGCTGCTGCTGAGTCGCCGCCGCAGCTGCAGCTGCTGCTGCTGCTAGCGCCAAACCATCTGGTCCAGAACTCGACATTTTGACTCGGCCTCCGACGGAGTTGCCAAGCGAGTCGTAATTCGCCGTCATCTCCATCTCCTCTTCGTGCTCCTCTTGATCCTCAAACTCCATCCCAATTAATCAACTGATTAAAATCAGAGAAAAACAGAAAAACCCCACTGATTAATAAAAGAGTATCAACCCAGAAAGAAGAAGATAAAGAGAGGGGTGAGTGAGTTAGGGGAGAGAGAGAAAGAGAGTGTGTGTGTGTGTGTGTGTGAGGTGTAAATTTTGTATTGTCTCACTCCCCTCACCACCTCTCTCCCTGCAAACGAAATAGCTCGTCTTCCCCGAAAGTCCTTCATATACTTTCCCATTTTCTCAATCCCAACCGACTACTCCCGGTTGAACCGGTCACTTTCACCTTTCACCCTCCGTTTTTAAACCGCGCGTTGTTCAGAGAGCTGTGGGGGATTGTCAGACAGACTACTTTAATTCCGTATCGAACTCGTTTAGAAATAATTCAAAATAAATGAAAGCAATTTCTAAAAATGAATGGCCGAAGTTGTTAAAGCTTTTTTTACAAAAACAACATAACTTGTGCTTTATACTAGAACACTTCAAACATTTTTTTTAATTTATTTACATTTTTACTAAAAATTGATTCTAAAAGAAAATTTTCCATCATTTTAGAATTTCGGATGAGGTGACATACTCTTAAGAATAAAAACAAACATAAGAGAAATGAGAAAAGAAAAAGTGTCCCACGCGCTGAGGTGGTGTTGGACACGTTCCAGCAGGAAGCAAGGTGGTGGCGCGTGGTGTGTCGCGTACGGGGGAGAGAGGTGGGTTTGTGTTGCATATATCGGACGTGTCAGGACACGGCATTACATTGGAAAAAATAAATTGTCGGCATTTAAGGCAGCTGGGGTACGGGCACTCGTTTCCGACATGCGTGACGCTCTATTTGGCGTCAAAATTTTGCATTTAATATTGGAATAGTTTTCTTGTGTTTCTCAGCTTCTGTCTGAGAAAAGAGAGCACAATATCGGAAGGGTTTTTGTTGTAACAAAAAACACTGCACTGCGCTGCAATACAACTCTTCGGTTTTGGTGTGTTGTTGTGGGGTGCAAGTGCAACTGCATGCATTTGGTTCCATAGGACTTGTTACCAACCAATTTCAATAGGCAAATAATGTTGGTCTTGTCAAAAAAGGAGAGACATTCATGCTAATGTTAGGAAAACTAAATTTGTACATAAAATTTTAAAAACTAAAAGATATGAAAATGGATGATTGGTTTGCTACTTAAACGTTGATAAACATGTTCATTCCTATTAATGACACATCATTTAGTTTTCAAATTTTGTCTCCCTAGCATTACTCTTCATATTTTGTCCTTTCCATCCCATCTCAATGTATTAATTGGTAAGCTTCTAGTTTTTACTTTTTCATTTTCATTTTTTATTGAAACTAAGAACATCTTCAACCCTTGGGTTAAAACCTAAAATTTTTAATTCCAAAAAATTAGGTTTTAACTCAGAAATAATTTTTTCTGCTCAAACCTTTATGAGTTAAATTTTAGTCGAATATTATTAAATAATGAATTTTGGATAGCTATTTCTTAAAGTAATGTTTAAAAAAAATTATTACGTAGATTATCATAATTTAATTTTATGAACATTTTAACCTAAAAATATTTAGACTCCGATAAATATTGAAAAATCACTAGACCAACACCATGAAACTCGTGGAACACTTTGAAAGAATTTTTTTTAATTATTTTAGCCTTGAATTTAAATTCGAACATTTAGATATTTTTTTTACCATTGGATTTGGTCGTATTAGATCTTAGTTGTTGGATACAATAAATTTATAAATATAAAACTGAAAAAAAATACACATATATGGTGGGTCAATCTACTAACTAAGGGGAATTCTGGCCTAAATTTGCCCCAAAATGAATTTTGGGTTAAAACTCATATTTGGCCTAAAAATTAAAGCAAGTTGAGGTAAATTTAGAATCAAAATTTGAGTTTAAGAGTAGGAGTAGGCAGTAAGAGAAAATACATAGAAAAATGAGATTTTATTTTCCCAACGTTTTTCTGATATCAAAACAAATAAATGAAAAATAGTTATCAAACCAGAGATTGTCTTGCATGATTACATTTGACGCAATGATTATACTCGATGATATTAGCCTTATACAAAATAAAATAAAAATCCTAACCAATGTTTGGACTAGAATCAACCTCTTTATTCATTTTATCCTTCAAATAAAAATTGTTATAACACATTTATTGATTTTATGAAATTTAACAAAACGGTCAACTATAACCAACAAGTATAAATTAATTCAACCAAACTAGGTGAAGAGTCTTTGAATGCAGATAAAGCTAGCAAAAATGTTTGTAAAGAGAACTTGTCTATCAAATGATCCCCCCTTCTTGTGGGAGCCTTAAAATTAACTTCCATGATTCTGTGGTTAATAATCATGATGCTAGTGGCTTTGTTGTTAGAGATGAATTTGGGAGGCCTATTCTCGCTGGTGCCAGGAGCTTGGGGGACTATCACTATTAATGTTGCGAAATGTGTTGCTTTGAGAGATGCGCTTTGAACGGCTAGGTCTAGGGTTTCAGAAATATCCGGATCGAGGGTGACTCTAAGCTTGTGATTGATTCCATTCTTGGCCGTTGTTCTATTCCTTGGAGACTTCAATTCATCATTCAGGACATCAAGTACTTAGCTTGCTGGTTTGAGAACATCTCTTGAAGCCACATTTGAAGGGAGGTCAACTTCGTTGCATATGCTATGATAGATGCGGGCTTTAATTATAGCAATCTTCATGTGTGGGATGGTTCTATGCCCAGTTCAGCTCACAGAGCTCTTTTATTTGACTGTATGCAATTGGGTTGTACTCGTGGACATTCTCTTTAATGTTATTACTTTTTCTATAAAAATAAATATAAAAAAAAAATTAGTAGGTTAATACACGGTATTGAACTCATTTGGGACAACTATCACGATGTCATTCAATAATCCGAATCGTTCGTTTCAGGTCATCACTCAAGATTCGTCCGTGCTAAATTTCGCCATTTCATTGTTAATTGAAAATATTATATTTTTATTATTTGGCCACAATAAGATAACTAAACCTTTTTAAATTGAGTGTATATTTTTCAGCAACAGCTTGCTTTTCAAGGAGAACTTGACAATAAATAGTTCAGAATTTTGGGATGGAAAGCGAAGACTAGCTGCGGATTAACATACTAAAAGTGGGATTGAACTCGATTAATTTACCTTAACAGAACAAAAGTATCAAAACAAACTTGTGAAAGAATAGCAGTAGCTGTTGTTGATCCCAACCACAAATAGACATGTGTTCAAATATTTAAAATTAAAATTTATAATTAAATATATGGTCATCTCTGATTAAGGTTTCAGAAGTAGCTGCTGCTTTTCTTTCAGCAACATAGTAATGATCATATATATATATATATATATATGTATGTATGTATGTATGTATATGTATGTATGTCAGTCGCGTAGATGCGTGTGGGCAGGGGATGGTGACGACCAACTAAGTACTGGTTTGGTACTGAAGTGCTCTTATAAAAAGTGGGTATAAAAAAAAGTTGAGCTCAAAACGATGTTTGATAAACACTTAAAAACAGCTTATTTTCACAATTTTAGGTTTTGGATGAAAAAAAAGCTAAAAATGTCAAGCAGCAAAAATGAGCTTATTCTCACAGCACAACAGAAGCAGTTTTTTTTCAAAGCACATCAATACCAAATCAGCCTAACAAAGAGAGAAAAAGGCGGTGCAGCATTTGATTGCATGCATATTAAGATGGAAAAGGATCGTTTCCGGATCCTCTTTGTGAGGATCCGGAGGATCAATCATTCGTGTTCATTTATCATACATCGTGCGGTCAAATTTCATTAGGTATGATTTATATTCAATTTTAAATTTTAAATTTTAAATGATTTCTAACCGTACGATGTACAATGAACGAACATAATTAATTGATCCCCCGAATCCCCACAAAGAGGATCCTATTCCTATTAAGATGAGTGTACTGTAGTTTTCAAAAGTTGCTAATGTCCATATTAATAATATGGTTAGTGGACCTGCAAATGGTTCACTACAAATTAAATGTGTTATAAACCTTAATTATGAAAATTTACATATTGCACAGTGCATTTCTAGGATTTCCTTTGGTGCCTTATAAGTCATAAACCTATGGAAGATGATAGTTATTCCAATGATCGTATGAAGGATTAATTTATTAGAAGTATGCTTTTAAAGTCACTCATTTAATGTAATAGCTTTTGGAATATTTATGTATTAATTTTTATTTAGGTTAATGAAGGAGCATTGTTTATTGTTAATTATTACTTAATGTATTACATGTTTAATCAATTAATAACAAAATTCAACGAAGGTAATCAACCTAAGAGAGAAGTGATTTAAGCGTTAGATCAATTAGACCTTTCTCTTATGTTCATTTCTAAAATGTTCCTAGACATAGGATTGTCAAATGGGCATTGAAAATCCGCTAAGACTAGTATGTGTTATGTCAACTTATTCAGGAGTATGACTAGTCTCAAAGTCATTAGTGCTAGACACTAAGACAAACACATAAGTTCTCCAAAGGTTGTTGAGTACTCTAAACAACGACCAACAAAGAGCTCTAACATACATGTCATGTATGAACTCATTGGTTGCAATAATGTAAAGTAGTTATTTGACTTGAGACACCACATATGCCTTGTGGGTACATCTTTAATCATTTGACAATGTAACAAAGTACATGCCTCATCTTGGGTATGTTCCTAGCATTGTTAGGGTCATTAATTTATTTATAGAAACATGTGAATGTACAAGAAGGAATTTCTAACCTTCCATGGTAGAAGGAGAATACTCTAAGATATGGTTCGAGAGTCTTTGGCCAAAGCATATGAATATGACTTAGGAAAAATATTCTCAATCATATTCACTAGAATCATATAGAGAAGTATCAAATTCGATAGTAGACATGAAATAAACTATCAACCAAACCATGTGGTTAAGAATATTGAATTCCAGAAGAACTGTATTGCATTGTAGTTGTAACTGAATAGGTTATCCAATCACTTATACATAGATTGGGTAGCCATGACATACTAATAGGCGTCATTCATGATCTGTGGAAACCCTGAAGATTGGCAATCGCTAATCTTCATCTAAGGTAAACTGAAATATGTTTTAATTCACAAATCGATTAGTAAAAGTTACCACCACCCACTGCCTCACTAAATGAAACCTAATGGATCTTACACCATGTTAGGTCG